CCCCCTGCCCTTTTTTTTTTGCTTGGGGCGGCAAAAAAGCCAGAGCCGGCCCTGGGTAGAAGGACCTCAAGGCTCCAGTTGAGTAACATACCTAATCACATGCACAGCTCTAAGCTTGTGAGTAGTCCCACTGATGTTAAGTTAGGCGTGGGCTAAAGTACTCTGCTGAACTAGGCCCTTACATGGATTTTGATGTGAACTGCATGCTGCTAGCCATTGCACTCACCCCATGACAGCGTGTACTCAGCCAGTTGTAGCTAATTAACATGTGGAACTTCTACAGCACCATCTAAACCAAAGATTTAACAATCTTTCAGAAACATTTTTAAAACGCCTCAATGTCCATGTGAAGTGGATGAGTGTAAGTATTATACAGGTGGGGATCACAAGGCAATGTTTGTACTGTAGCAGGATTAGAAGCAGTTAATTGGCTCTCTTTAATACAGGCGTCAGAGTTGTAGAGATGAAGGCAGGTTTTGTGTTAAGACTCTCGACTGATACTCAGGACCTGGGCTAAGTTCCCAGCTCTGTGGCATACTTCTGTGTGGGCAAATTGTTTAACATTGCTCTGTCTCCGATTCCCTATCTGTAAAATGGGGACAATTCTTATTTCCTACCGCACAGTGCTGTGGTGAAGATAAATTCATTGACTGTATCGTGCTTGGATGCTAACATGATGAAGGCCGTCTAAGTGTATTGGTAGAAAGCTTTCCTTTTTCCATCAGCCTTTTCAGAGGCTCTTTAAATGGTTGGTTGGATTCTTCCTGGGCTCTTGTCATCTGTGTGAACTCGGCAACTGTCTGATTGCATATTCGCTGTGGTTTTTGATGTATTCCGCAGAGGTTACCTGGAGCAGTAGAAGAGGCTGTGATACAAACGCAGAGGGAGTTTTTTTGCACTAATTTAGCAATTGTAGTGGAGCCACTGGTATAGTTTCCAAATTTGAATAAGATGCACGATGACGGCAGCAGGTAGCTCTTGTTTGATGTATTTTTTTTTTATTATTATTATTTTTGCTCTTTGCTCATCTCCAGTGAGCTGAGATTAGATAGGTTGGATAGAACTAATCTTAAAATTTTGTTATGGCTCATGCCCGCTCACCAGTGAAAATACTGTCAGCAGAAGTCTTCTAGTTTGCTTTGATGCTGTGCTTGCTCCTTGATCTTTCTGAACTCGGATGCTGTGAAGTTGAGTTCTTCAAAGAATTTGAACTGAAATTCTACAGCACAGATCTTGGGGGTTCAGGTTTTAAGTCCTCTGACTGCCAGGAGAGAGTTTTGAATCCACTGCTGCGAGAGACAGTCATTCTTGTCCGTAGATTCCAACCCTTATTTCTGCCTGTGCCTTGGGACGACGGGGTGAGGCGGATGCTATGAATACTGCAAAAGGGGAAGGCAGTTTTTTTTTGCATTCAGGATTATGAAAGGAAGCTCGCTTTTCATCATCTGTAATTATGGTTAAAACCTGGGTCATTAACTTTTCAAATTGGAAGCTTAAAAGGATTTAAAGTAAATACTTAGTGGAAATTTGAGATGAATGAGACGTTAACAAAAAAACAGACCCCTTCTATAAACAAATTAGTTTGCATAGCTGAAAGCTCCTGTAGAGGCCTGGAAGACTGAGATGTAGTATGAAGCCTATGCATTCGCATACCCACCCATCCAGCCGTATGTATGTTGTAAGACAATTCTGTAGAGTCTAGTCAGAGTGTTAATTTTGTCTTTTCAATCACTCACACTATCATTCTGCCCCCGGGTCTATTCAACTAATGAGAATGTTCTGAGTTTATAATGATTCTGATGATGTAATGCTTCTAGCCTGTGTTTTTTATTGGTTGAGTTTTATTGCCTACTGTTGGAGCTGTGTGGGTGGACCGACACAATCTCCCTGTTTGCCTAGTTTAAATTAGTTTCTCATTAATGAAGTGGTCTTTCTAACCCACTGCCTGACTAGGGTTGCCAACTTTCTACTCCCACAAAACCAAACACCCCTGCCCTGCCCCTCTTCTGAGGCTCCACCCTCACCCTTACTCGCTCGCTCATTTTCACTGGGTTGGGGTGAAGAGTGGGGGAGTGAGAGCTCTGGCTGGGGGTGTGGGCTCTGGTGTGGGGCCAGGGATGAGGGATTTGGGGTGTAGGAGGGGGCTTCGGGCTGGAACTAAGGGGTTCGGAGGGCAGGAGGAGGATCAGGGCTGGGGCAGGGGGTTGGGGTGCGGGGGGGAGTCAGGGGTGCAGGCTCTGGGTGGTGCTTACCTCAAGCAGCTCCCGGAAGCAGCAGCACATCCCTGCTCTGGCTCCTATGCGGAGGTGTGTCCAGGTGGCTCTGTGCACTGCTCTGTTTGCAGGCGCCGTCCCTGCTGCTCCCATTGGCTGCCATTCCCGGCCAATGGGAGCTGCATAGCTGGCACTTGTGGCGGGGGCAGCGCGGAGACTCCGGCTGCCCCTATGTGTAGGAGCCGGAGGGGGGACATGCCACTGCTTCCGGGAGCCACATGGAGCCATGGCAGGCAGGAAGCCTGCCTTGTCCAGCTGCACCACCAACCAGACTTCTAACGGCCCGGTCAGCAGTGCTGACCGGAGCGTCCAGGATACCTGGCAACCCTGTGCCTGACCCCTTAAATATAACCCCAAATGCAATAATATTTATAGGCACACTTCATGCTGTTTTCTTTGTGGAGATATGGGTTGGCCAAGAAGGTTATGGTTTGATTCTTTGCAAAACTTTTAGTAGGTTTTAAATTGCATATTTGTAAAGTTTGCAAGTAGCAATTTCTACCATGCTAAATTGGCCAGTTGGGGACCATTAACAGTACCATGTGACTACAATGTTACTGACCCAACACAAACTGTGGGGCTGTTGCAACCAAATATGCAATTTGAAACTTGCCCTGAGTAGTCACATGACATTGTTTCCGTTCCTTGATTGGTTGATTTATGTAACAATGTGAGAATTAAGAATATTTGTGAACCATTTGTCGATGAGCAAGCAATTGAAGAAATCCGTGGAGAACTTTGCATAATGAGTACACTGGAGAATTTTGCATGGAAAACTTGCCAACAGAAAAAAGGTGAAATTAATTAAATAAGTTATTTGCTGCACAGTCATTCAGTCCGCTCTAATTAATAACCTGGGTAAGAGCCAAACAACTGAAGCAACACCTTCCTTCTCTGATCCCTTCCTTTCTTGTTGCCATACATTAGTGTAGAAAGAGCCCTCTGTGTTCCCAGATTACAAGACCCATGAAGGTCACGCACACATGGTCACAGTGCAACAATCCATTATTGCTATTGTCAAAGATGGCATCTTTTTTTTAAGAGGCATTGGATTACTCAGCCGATTGAGCCATATGACTAGTGGCTGAACAACCTTAAGTATTTTACGGTGGTCACAAATGGGATGAGAATTCAGCTGGGCTAAAATTAACGATGACCAAAACGCTGTGAAAACAATCTTCACTGTGAGAGACTTGCTATTTATCTGTGTTTTTTGTGTGTTGTACCCTAAGGCTCTCTGCTTAGTGACCTGCCACTGATTTGGTCCACCAACTTCATTTCAGGTTGGATCACAAGAATGGCAGCTATCATCTGTGAATGTGCTGGGGGTTCTGTTTTCTAGCATGTCAATTAGCTGACGCGTCAGCGCGTCGGAGGAAGTTGGAGGGGGGAAGTAAAGTACTGTTTGGATCAGCTGCCGATAGTTTCTGACCTGAGAGGGTGAAAAAAAATTATTTTTTCTGTCCTTGCTCCTTTTTCCATGTCACTTGTACTTTTTATTTTTGTAAATATATGGTGTGTGTGTGTGTGTGTGTGTGTGTGTGTGTACACTTGTATTCAGTGCAATGTCTGAGCCTTGCATGGGGAGCCATGGAATAGATTCAAATTGTCATTAGTTGCAAACTCAGTAATACATTTTTATATAATTTTTAGCTTAACTTGTGCTCGACTTAGAGCTTGAAAAGGAAACATCCTGCTCTTAAGTTGTTTAGACCCTATGCCTTGTGAACACACACTTGGGGCTTGTCTATACTTACGCGCTGGTTCGGCGGCAGGCAATCGAACTTCTGGGTTCGATTTATCGCGTCTTGTCTGGACGCGATAAATCGAACCCAGAAGCGCTCGCCGTCGACTCCGGTAATCCTGCTCGGCACGAGGAGTACGCGGAGTCGACGGGGGAGCCTGCCTGCCGCGTCTGGACCGCGGTAAGTTCGAACTAAGGTACGTCGACTTCAGCTCCGTTATTCACCTAGCTGAAGTTGCGTACCTTAGTTCGAATTGGGGGGTTAGTGTAGACCAGGCCTTGAACTTCAAGTTTTGGTTTCCAAAAGGGCCTCTGTTGATGGTCTATTATTGAGAGCACACACTCCATAATGGAGCAGTGGGGAACCTGTTTGTACTAGAACGCTCAGTAAACGAATGCATCTTCTCACCAGGCAGTTCCCATATTCTTCTTCACTTCCTGTTGCATGTGAATTTTGATTCATGTCTACAGTAAATTACTCTTACAGAATTATCGCCATGTCTCTTTTTTTCTCTTTGCAGTTTCTCTGTTTGAAGAACATTCGAACATTCTTAAAAGTCTGTCATGACAAATTTGGGTTAAGGAACAGCGAGCTGTTTGACCCCTTTGACCTCTTCGACGTGCGGGATTTTGGAAAGGTAAAAGCTAACTCCTAATCTGTGTTTGAAAAAAGGGTTTGAAAGCGCTTTTACTGCTGCTGGAAGCCTAGACTGTTTTTGAAATGTCCTGCCCAATGCCGGGCTGATCCTGCCACCAGCTTGATTCTGCATAGCTCGTGTAACCCACACCCGTTTGTGTGGCACTCTGTCTTCCCCGCCCCTGGTGGTGGCTGGGTCCTGTGATCAATCGATGAGCGTGCTACATCCTTGACTAGCAGAGGTGGCTCTCTTAGCTCAGGCTGTGTAGAGGCTCGTGCTTTAGAACTGTTGCTCCTTCTCTCACCTCAGTGGCTAGTCATAGTCCAGGGCTCTGTGGGTTTTCCAGCTGGGAGTAAAAATTGGTCCTAGCCAGGTATTTCTTGCAGCCTTGTTTATTGACCAGGAACGTACTGTGTCTCTGAATGCAGAAGGAAACAAGAACAAAAAGGAGCCGTTTCTTAGCTTAAAGCCCTGCAAGCCCCAGAGTCACACTGCACTCACAGGTTATTGCTTGGTTTTCTTGCCCCCCCCCCCCCCCAATCTTGTCTATTCTGTTTCTTTCCATGTGTTCTCTGACAGACCCACACCGACTTGGTCACAATACCCAGTCGACCCTTCTGTCCCCATGGGGCTAGTTTCTGGACAGACTCTGCTAGGCTGTGTTTTAGGTGTTGCCCCTTAACTGTTTCTTACACCTGTCTTAAATGGAGGATTCGTACACACATCAGTTCAACAAGGTTTTAACTCAACCCATAGCAAGGTTTCATCCAGCTCACAACCGAACCCACAGGTCCCCATACTGGTTCAGTCTGTACTGCTGATGACCCACTGAGGGGCGTGGCACAACAGGCACATGTCAGGCAGGTGTATGCAGGGAGCAATTGACAATTCAGCTCAAAGATCCAATTCTACAGGAGCTTGAGCAGCCTTTCAAAATTCTTCTTGCCTGTTCACCTAGACCAAGTAAACTGATGAGTGAAATCTCCCAGGCACACGACAGATTTTCTTTTTGGGGAACAAAATATTGTAATGGTTGCTCATAAAAAAAAATGTACAATTATTTACTGAGATGATGTTATTGGAGGCAGTGGGTCTAGTGGATCTGGCAGAGATCTGGGACTCAGAAGACCTGGGTTCTGCTTCAGATTCTGCCACTGGCCTGGTGGCTCACCTTGGACAAGCTACGTCATATCTCTGTTTCCCTTCCCTTTTGTCTGTTTTGTCTCCTGAGATTTGCAATTGCTTCTATCTCTTGATAGGTGTACAAACAGTACTGAGAGCAGTGGGATCCCAATTTCAATTGAGGCCTCTAGGTGCACTTACGATATAATAACCAAATATATAGAGACCAGTTTGTTTCCACGATGGTGAGTAGATTTCAGGCTTGGGCTAGCACCCTTAGGTGCTTTTGAAAAATGTACCCAGAGACTTTTCTGACCACCAGCCCCCAGACAATAATTTTGTTTTATTTGTGTTGTGTGTCACATAGATGAGAGCAAAGGGAACATTTCCTTTTTCTGTGTTTAATGGCAGCACTGAATTCTGGATGAAGCCCAGGTGGAAGGGAGCTTCTGAATGGTTTTGACACGAGTGTCTGTCTGATATCCCTTTTACTAGAATTCAGTGGCATTAGCACTGTAATGTTACTTTGATAGATATAGGGTCTAGGGAAGCCTTCACACACAAGGCAGTATATTCTATTCTTTGGGCAATATTGGTGTTAATAAGTCACTCCGTTCTTTTAGGAGCTATGCATTACTTTGTCTCCTGAGCTACAAGGCATATGCTATGTGAAGGCATCCACTTTTCTGATTAGCTGAAGAGTAGCTTTCCACTGGCTGATGGGAAAGATTAGATTATATTTATTGCCTAATTTATTTTGGGGACTATTATCTGGAACTTGCAATTGAAGGAGTTTGTTTTATGAGTTCATGATTTATGAACCGCAAGGGGACTCTCGTTCAAGTTTTGAGACTACAGATGCACAGAAGCTGGGCTGGGGAGAGAACTGTTGTATAGAATGCTAGTTTGCTTTCACATTTTGTTGCAGTTTATGGTACCAAATGGCTCAGCAAAATTATTAATTGGAGCTGGGTTTTTTACCCTTTGAGACCATACCAGCTGAACATCTTCCCACTCCTTTTCACTTACAATCTAGCTGTGACTGGTCTCTAGAACATAATTCTGCCTCTGCTGAAAGCAAATCAGAGGTTAAATAACATGGGAGAGTCATAAAAAATTACTTTCCATTTTGAATCACAAATTGTATAACTCCTGAGAGCGCAAAGGAGTCTTTAAATTAGATCCCCACTGGCCAAATGCAGACTTCAGACACGCACAATTCTTCGTGGAGCCCATTCATTACTTAGATCAATAACACTTTTCAGTTACAGGACACTTATGCCATGTAAGAGCCTCTTATATACAATGCAGAGTAATGGTTGACCGTTTAATTATATGGTAAGCACAGAGTAACGGTGCTGGGTGTTTCCATTTTCAGATATCACTTATAGCTATTTCTGTACTCCAGACTAGAAGGCCAGTTAGGTAATGATTACTAATAACTTTTGGACTTGCTGAAAGGTAATTATCAAGTAAAAAGGCAGGGGCATGTAGTTATTCTGTATTTACTTGTTGACCTTCATAGGCTGCCTGTAAATAAAGGGGCATTACCATTTAGTATGTGCAGGAGGTTTCCGATGGACATCTAGGTTCTTTACAATAAGAAAAATGCTAAAAAAAACCCTCAAATTCTTCCCTCCTTCCCCCCAACAACAGGCTACATTCCCAAAGCTGATGCTTTGCTCCTTTAGATATAGTGAGCCGGATCCTCAGCTGGTCTAAAGCAGTACAGACTTCAGTGGAGCTACCGCCGATTTTACATCTGCTGGGTTACTGCTGTATTTTCCTGTTGACTCCTATTCTGCGCCTGAGGGACGCCCCTACTGTGTATTATTACCTTAGATTTACATTGTCACTAACTCTTAGGGCCAGATGCTTGGGTGTGTCTGAGCTCAGTGCATGAGGGGAGGTATGTGGTTGTGCTCCACCCCTGTCTCTACCACTATAACCCCGAGGGCTCGTTCGTTCCCTGGCAAGAATTAAAGCCGTCTCGGAGCTGCTTTAATTGCACTGGCTAGAATGGCCTCCTACAGGATTTTTCCTCTGTCCAGTATCTCTGGCTTTATGGGGGGAGGGATAGCTCAGTGGTTTGAGCGTTGGCCTGCTAAACCCAGGGTTGTGAGTTCAATCCTTGAGGGGGCCACTTAAGGACCTGGGGCAAAAAAATCAGTAATTGGTCCTGCTAGTGAAGGCAGGGGGCTGGACTCGATGACCTTTCGGGGTCCCTTCCAGTTCTATGAGATCGGTATAGCTCCATATATTATATATTATGCTACCTCCATAGTGCATGGGGTTTCCTAGCTGCCCAGTTAGGCCAGCTTTCCATCTGTCTGGGCAGCCTGAAGGGTCCGAGATCTGTCCCCCTCTTTTACCAGGCTCCGGACTTCGGAGAACTGAAAATAGTTGCCCTGTTGTTTCATTGCTGAAGAAATAAAAGTCCTGTCTCAGTAACTGAAATACTCCTTTTTTTTTATGGAGGATGTGGGCATTGGCTTGGAGAATCTGACAGACGGATCTTCCATTACAGGCTGACTCGCAATGGCGAAGACACAGCATAGTCTGGTGGTTAAAAGCGAAACGTTGCCAGTCAGGAGTTCTGGTCTCGTCTCTGCCGTTCATTTGCAGTTGGACCTTGGGCGAGTCACTTCTCTGCTCGTTTTAGTGGCTTGTCTCCCAGGTTGCTGAAGTTGGATTGATGTTGGTAAAGGGGTTGGGATCCTGAGGCAGAAATAGCCGTAGAAGTGAAAAGTTCTGTTGCTGTCATCGGGGGAGGCTGGAACGCAGGGCCTAGGCAAACAGATGTGTATTTTTCTTGGGTGTTGCGTAGCTTTTCTTGCCATATCTCATAATTACCAAAAAGAATTGCTTTAGATCAGGGGGTCTGATTGCTTCCAGTGCTTTCCCCCCCCCGTGTTTAGACCCTGCTGTTAAGCAATAATATTGTGACAGTGACGTGCCCGGATCCTGGCTGAGATTTCCAAAAGTGACGACGGTTTTGGGCGTTTCAATTTCTGGGTGTCTGACTTGAGATGCCTTTAAAAAGGCCTGGTTTTCTGAGGGCCGGGGCTCAGCACCTTCTGTACAATGAGGCCTCTTCAAGGTCTCTCAAGTTGGGGCTGCCAAATCAATAGTCCCCTTTGAAAAGCTCAGCCCACGTGTGTGACTCCACTGCAGCAGCCGTGGGTGTGGGATTCCGAGGAAGAAACGCACCATTGCCTTCAGTTTAGGGTCGGATCCTGCAACGCACGGAGTTCCTCCTGAGAGGTACTGAGCACCTGTAACATCCACTGACGGCAATGGGACCGTTCAGTCCTTTGAAGAATCCTGTCTGTAATAGCAAAGGGAACAAAAAAAATGCCCAAGTATTTCTGTGATTTTTGCACTGTACATATGTGCGTTTAATTTAATGACCGCAATAACATAAAGCTTAGCTCTTGCATAGCTCTTCAATTTGTTGGCACCAGATGTAATGAGATCAGATGTACATAAATATGGATTAAACGCTTCATCACTCTGAGTCAGCATGGAGGCAGCGAGGTTCATGAAAGGGAGTTACTCACTTTCAATAACTTGCAGTAATACACTTAAGGTTTCTTTTTTGTAGAGAGATAATTCACTATCCATAAACCTGTGGAGTGTGCGATTTATTAACCTCCCCCTTCTCTCTTCTGTACTCCCAGGCTTGTTTAACTGCCCTGACTTTCTGCTGAACTTGATGGAATGTTTCAAAGAACCTTTTTACGAGTCCTGGGTCTCTCACGATCTGAACTGTAGGCGTGCAGTGATGCTGCTATAAAAATCAAAAGGGGAAGCCTAGTCATAAGTCACCTGAAATACAGAGGGATGTTGACTCTTCTAGCATCTGAGATAAACCAGTT